GGAAATGACTTCATCACTGAGCTAAAAGGGTGTCTGGGGGCCGGGGTTTCTCCGGTCTCCTTTAGGCCAGTAAATCTGGCCTTTTTTTTGTGAGTTAGAATTTTGTTCTACATCCTTCTCCAGCTCTGTCCAGAACCCTCTGTTGTGATACCAGTCAGAGCAGTCAGTGGTGGTAGCTGGGCACCATCTAGCTGTACTGGACTCAGTCTGGTAGAGGCCTTGGTAGCTGTGGTCCATTCATCCTTCGGACTAATCTTTTCCTTGTATCCTGTTCTCTTTACTCTCCCTTGCTCCCGAAGGGATGAGACCAGTGGAGCATCTTAGATGGCTGCTGACAGGCTTTTAAGACCCCAGACGCTACTCACCAAGGTAGAATGTAGAACATTGTCTTTATAAACTGTGTTATGCCAGTTGAGCTAGATGTTCCCCGAGACCATGGTCCCCACTAAAGATTTTTTTAATTGGAAAAATGAACTTATTTTATCTTCATTTGTTTCATATCCTGCACTTCCTTTGTTGTACAGACCTGAATTTCCTTTTTTTTTTTTATAAATATATTTAAATGCTGTTTATTCTCTGGTTTACTACTTTTTTTTATTGTGATTTAGGTGAAAGTTTACAGAGCAAATTAGTTTCTCATTAAACAGTTAATACACAGATTGTTTTGTGTCATTGGTTGCCAACCCTGCAATGTGTCAACACTCTCCCCTTCTTCACCCCAGGTTCCCTGTTCCCATTCATACAGTTTTCCTGCCCCTTCTTGCCTTCTAGTCTTAGAATTTGGGCTGGTGTGCCCATTAGTCTCGTATACATGGTTGAACTACGAAGCACTTCGTCCCTCATGTGTGTTATTTTTAGCCCTATAGACCTGTCTAATCTTTGGCTGAAGGGTGAACCTCAGGAGTGACTTCAGTACTGAGTTAAAAGGGTATCTGGAGGCTAGACCTGAGTTTCTGCCTGGCATATTCTTTTTGTCTAAAGAACTTCCTGTAACTTTTCTTTTTTTAGTACTGGTCTGCTGTCAATATTCTTAGTTTTTGTTTGTCTGAGAATGTTTTTATTTCTCCTTCATATTTTAAAAGATATTTTCTCTGGGTATAGAATTATTGGTTGACAGTTATTTTTCTGTGATAAAGATATCACTCCATTATTTTCTAGCTTGTATGGTTTCTAAAGGAAGTCTGCTATAATTATTATCTTTGCTTCTATGTATGTAATGTGTATGTTTTATTTGTCTGTCTTCAGGATTTTCTCATCTTTTGTTTTCAGTAGTTTGAGTGTACCTCGGTATAGGTTTTTTGTTTGTTTGTTTTGTATTTATCCTGCTTTATATTCTCTGAGCTTCTTGGATCTGTAGTTTGGTATTTGTCATTTATTTTGGAAATTCTCGGCCATTATGTCTTCAAATATTTCTTCTGCCCTGTTTGTTTCTCTCTTCTTTTGGAATTCTAATTATGCATACGATAGATTGTTTGATATATTCCACAGCTCTTGGGTGTCCTGTTATGTTGTTGTTATTGTTGTGTTTTAATTCTGTTTTTCTCTTTGTGTTTCAGTTTAGGTAATTTCTGTTGACCTGTCTTCCAGTTCACTGACTCTTTCTTTGGCTCTCTCAAGTCTACTAATGAGTCTGTCATAGGCATTCTTGATCTCTGTTATTGTGTTTTTCACTTATAGCATTCCTGTTTGATTCTTTCTTACAGGTTCCCTCTCTCTGCTGTATCTTCTAGTATTCATTTTTATCTTTTCCCTTCCCAGAAAGCAGCCATATAGGGCAAGATTTGAATTTGGTTCACTTTTTTCTTATGCCTCTTTTGCATATCTTAGGTTTGGAAAAGTTTTTTGAACCAGAAACCAAGAGCTGCTCCAGAATAGAAGGACTTAAGAAGTGCACTCAAAGCAGCTTGGCCTGAAAGCAGAAAGCGGGAAGACAGTTACAGAACAGTCCTGTTGGGGATCGAAGAGCTGCTGTATGTATCCACATATGTGATTGACTTGCTCAGGGTCAGTGATCATCTAAATATATTCTTTTATTCCTTATATACTTCACCAGACCATCAAAGTAACTATTATTTTATTCTTGTTTGGTGGGATGACCTGCGATAGCCCTTTCAACCTAAATGAAATAATGTGGGTTACTTTTATGTATCTTGTGTTTTTGAATGGGTTAATGGGTCCTGGATGGTGACATCTTCGTACTGTTAGGTTTATAGAACCTCACAAGGGCCTGCTTTTCTGTCATTTCCAAAACAAAAAAACTTCCTGAATCCTCCATGTCATATATTTTATCTCTGTATGGCTACAGTCGTGAATTTATTAATTCATTTGTTTTTTCATTCATTCAAACATTTTGTAAGCCTGCTATATCAGAGTTACTATATTGCATGCAGTGAGAATTACAATGATGAACAAGATGTCCTTTCCTCTGGGAGCTTGAGAGGCTCCTGCTTAACTAATACAAGAGTTTGGTTAGTTCTGTAATAGAGGTGCAAAATGCTATGGGACACAGAAGGCGTAGCGATTCATTTGGGCTAGGGGAGGCAAGCTAACGCTTTGTAGAAGAGGTAGCATTTCAACTGGGTTTTAAGAAATAATTACAATCTTGACAGGCAGAGAGGTGAATGGCCATTCTAAGCTAAATAAACAGCTTTTGCAATGGCACTGATGTGTAACGTATTTGATTAACAGTTTATACTCTACCCCTTGTAAATACTGGTTCTTTTTCTTCCTCTTGTATTCCTATTACAAGACTTAATATTTTTGTTCCTTCCCACTTTTTGGTTATTTTTATGTTCTTTGTTTTCCTATAGTTCTTAGTGGTAGGTCTTGCTCTGCTAGTTCAGGACTCAGAGATCCTTCACCTGGATAACCTCCAAGTGAAAGTGCAGGGCAGCGTTATTCCTCTTTCTGCCTGTGTTTCATTGTGTACTGACAATAGTAAAGCAAATCTTTCATTGCATGAATGTGGGCCCTGCCCATAGGGCAAATGTCTCCATACTAGAAAACAAAGCCACAGACCAGAACCTCTAAAGCATATATTAGACACTTGCCCCAATCAGCCCTTCCCATGTTCTGAAGATTTGTTGTACCTCAACACGCTGTTATCAACTTCTCTCTCGCTTTTCTTACAAAGCAAGAGAATACTGTTCAAAAATCCAAATGCATTCTTCCCTAGTTTATCGTTATTGCCAAAAAACATTTATCTCTACTCTGTTACCACTTCTTTCTATTTATTCTCAACAACTAGTGGGTTCTTTAAAGAGGTATTTTAAAAAAAGGAAAAAGGGCCATCTTCCTTGCTTTAGGGCCTGGCAGGTAGGGGTGAAGGTTTGAGACTACATCCTATCTTGCAGTATACCTAGGGGGTGAAAAAGCTGGGAAGAACACAGTTGATAACATAAGGAAGAGAGGACACATGCCACCCTGGTGCCTTTTCTGGAAAACAACTGCAGTGGGAGCCAGGCAGAGATGGAGAAGAATCCATCTTTCTGCTCTCGGGAAGCCCTCTACTCAACCAATTATTTGCTTTCACTTGGCTGTTATGATCTGGTTCTGGTCTTTTTTTCCCCTAACTAAGACAGATGAGGATCAACTAAGAAAAGGCAATGTAATATTTAAAACAAAAAACCCAAACTCATTGCTGTAGAGTCAATTCTGACTCACAGTGACCCTGTAGGACAGAGCAGAACTACCCTGTAGAGTTTCCAAGGAGCGGCTAGTGGATTCGAACTGCCAGCCTTTTGGTTAGCAGCTGAGCTCTTAGCCACTGCACCACCAGGGCCCCAGATGTAAAATTGCTCCCCCAAAACTGAATTCCTCTTAACTTTGATGAATGACAAGTAGGACTGTTAAGATGTATGATTACTGAGAATTACTTTATCAGTTAACATGAGTGTTTTCTCTGGGGTAGGAAGCTGAAGCACCCGTCTCCAGAAATGTCCTTGGAAAGTAAAGAACAACAAGTCCTTTCACCCAGGGACTCAGCTGAAGAAAATGACCAATATTGTCTTCAGTCTAGGATCCATCTGGAGCCTCAGATGGAATCAAGTACTGACTTCAGGCAATTTAGGACCAGTGATCGATGCATACCTCATTGTAGGATCCATATGGAGCCTCAAGAGAAATCAAATACTGACTTCAAGCAGTTTATCATCAAAAAGCTACAGAAGACTTGCCGGTGTGGCCCAGCCAAAGCAAAAAACATGATTTTTGATTTCCTTCCTGTTTTGCGGTGGCTTCCAAAATATGATCTGAAGAAAGACATTTTAGGAGATTTGATGTCTGGTTTGATCGTGGGCATCTTATTGGTGCCTCAGTCTATTGCTTATTCTCTCTTGGCTGGCCAAGAACCCATCTATGGTCTGTACACGTCCTTTTTTGCCAGCATAATTTATTTCCTATTAGGTACCTCCCGTCACATCTCTGTGGGCATTTTTGGAGTATTGTGCCTTATGATTGGTGAGGTAGTTGACCGAGAACTACACAAAGCTGGCTATGACACTGCCCATATTGCTCTTTCTTTAGAGATGTTTTCAAATGAGAGCACATCATTAAACCACACATTACGTGAGACATGTGACAGAAGTTGCTACGCAATTATAGTTGGCAGCACTGTAACCTTTATGGCTGGAGTTTATCAGGTAAGAAACAGTGGAACAAGTGGTTGTTTCTGGCAAAAGTAATCACTATACATGAAATCTTAGAGCTATGAGGGATCTTGTTGTTGTTGTGTGCCATTGAGTTGATTCCGACTCATAGCAACCCTATAGGACAGAGTAGAACTGCCCCATAGTAGAACTGCTCCAAGGAGTGGCTGGTGGATTCGAACTGCTGACCTTAAGGGATCTTAGAGATCATAATTATTAAAGCTATCCTTTATTGAAAACTCAGGGTATATGAGCGATAGAGCCAGAATTCAAACCCTAGTCTGACTCCACAGGTAAGATAAGGCTGTTTCTCTTTTCTCAATCCTAGGCTGCCTCTTTACCAATGAATGTCAGTCAGCCAGATTTTAGTTATTTGTAGAAATTTAGACCAGAGAGGGACCTCAGACCACCTAGTACAACTCCTTAATTTTATACATCAAGAAACATTGGGCTTGCTTGATATTATTTGTGGTTGGTTACTGGCAGAGTCCGCATTAGAAATCAGGCCGGAGGGTAACTGAATGGGGGTTTGGGAGAGAAGGAATGCAGGATTTTTTCAAACTATAGATGTCCAATGCCCCTTCCTTTAGAATCGCTGCTCTGATAAGTGAACTCTTACTGATGATAGTAGTTCTCTTGGGTTGTCGGGGAGGGAAAAAGTTGAGGACCACTATTTTTTACTATCAGCAGGAGAAGGGATCAGAGATGAAATTCTTCTTGGATCTCTCATGGAATCCACTATTCTGTCATTATCATCATTCCCCTGCATTTTGGCTTCCAGGAGTCATTTCCAGCATTAAACCTCTTCTCTCTAACAGACATTTGGAACCAACAAGGGAAGGGGAAGAGTACACTTTATTTGGTGCTTGGATGAGGAAGCGTGAGTGAAAGAAGGGAAGGTAGTGTACAAAAGAGTTGTGTGCCTCAGAGTCTTATTTTTGCTTTTTCATTAGTGTGCTTCACCGAGAATGAGGAAAGGAGCAGTAGAATTCTGAGGAATTATTGGGAAGGGGAAAAAAAAAATAAAATATCTTCGAAGGATGTAAAATTATTAATATAGAAGGCAGTATAGCATAAATATATATACTGGATGAGAATAATTTCTCAGGTTAGATTAGAGAGAGTTCTACAGTAATTTTTTAAGTGCAATTTTGATGTAAATCTAATTTTTTGTTTTATCAGTTAAAACTTTTATGGCAATGATCTGTAATTTAAAGAAACTACATAAGAATTTTTCCAGTTTGAATTTTTAGATATTTTCTGTAGATCCTTGAGAATTACCTTTTTAAAAGAGGCCTGGATCTTATTTAAGAAACTGTACTAGAAGGTAGGAGCCCTGGTGACACAGTGGTTAAAGTGCTTGGCTGCTAACCAAAAGGTTGGCAGTTCAAACTCAACCAGCCGCTCCTCAGGAGAAAGATGTTGGCAGTCTGCTTCTGTAAAGATTTACAGCCTTGGAAACCCTATGAGGCATTTCTCCTCTGTCCTGTAAGGTCACTGTGAGTCAGAATCAACTTGATGGCGGTGGGTTTGGTTTTGGTTTTGGTTTGGTACTAGAAGGTAGGAATCTTAGATTGTCGCAGCTAGGCTAATGAGTAACAGTGTGACCTTGGGCAAATTGCTTAGCCCTCTGAGCCTCACTTTCCTATCTTTCTTTGTAAAATGAGAGGACTGATATGATGGCCTTTTTTCTAGCTCTGGCATTCTGTGATGCTTTGATAGTATGCTCCTATGCCAAGAAATGCCAGGTTAACTCTAGGTTTAGAAGCTCACTTTCATTTATATTTAACACTTGTATATCCTTTCTTTCAGGTAGCGATGGGCTTCTTTCAAGTGGGTTTTGTTTCTGTCTACCTCTCAGATGCCTTGCTGAGTGGATTTGTCACCGGTGCCTCCTTCACTATTCTTACATCTCAGGCCAAGTATCTCCTTGGGCTCAGACTTCCTCGGAGTAATGGTGTGGGCTCACTTATCACTACCTGGATACATATCTTCAGAAACATCCATAAGACCAATCTCTGTGATCTCATCACCAGCCTTTTGTGCTTTTTGGTTCTTTTGCCAACCAAAGAACTCAACGAGCACTTCAAGTCCAAGCTTAAGGCACCAGTTCCTACTGAACTCTTTGTAGTTATAGCAGCCACATTAGCCTCTCATTTTGGAAAACTAAATGAAAAGTACAACTCTAGTATTTCTGGACATATTCCCACTGGGTTTATGCCTCCCAAAGCACCAGACTGGAACTTAATTCCTAGTGTGGCTGTAGATGCAATAGCTATTTCTATCATTGGTTTTGCTATCACTGTATCACTTTCTGAGATGTTTGCCAAGAAACATGGCTACACAGTTAAAGCAAATCAGGAAATGTATGCCATCGGCTTTTGCAATATCATCCCTTCCTTTTTCCACTGCTTTACTACTAGCGCAGCTCTTGCAAAGACATTGGTTAAAGAATCAACAGGCTGCCGAAGTCAGCTTTCTGGTGTGGTGACAGCCCTGGTTCTTTTGTTGGTCCTCCTAGTAGTAGCTCCTTTATTCTATTCCCTTCAGAAAAGTGTCCTTGCTGTGATCACTATTGTAAATCTCCGGGGAGCCCTACTTAAATTTAAGGATCTGCCCCAGATGTGGAGGCTTAGCAGAATGGATACAGTTATCTGGTTTGTTACTATGCTGTCCTCTGCACTGCTAAGTACGGAAATAGGCCTGCTTTTTGGAGTTTGTTTCTCTATGTTTTGTGTCATTCTCCGCACTCAGAAGCCAAAGAGTTCATTGCTTGGCCTGGTGGAAGATACTGAAATCTTTGAATCCACGTCTGTTTACCAGAACCTTCAGACTAAGCCAGGAATCAAGATTTTCCGCTTTGTAGCTCCTCTCTACTACATAAACAAAGAATGTTTTAAATCTGCTTTATACAAAAAAACTCTGAACCCAGTCTTAATAAAGGCAGCTCAGAGGAAGGCAGCAAAGAGGAAGATCAAAGAGGAAACAGTGACTCTCAAGGGAATGCGGGATGAAGTTCCAGTGCATCTTTCCCATTATCCCCTGGAGGTCCACACAATCGTGATTGACTGCAGTGCAATACAATTTTTAGATACAGCAGGGATCCACACACTGAAAGAAGTTCGCAGAGATTATGAAGCAGTTGGTATTCAGGTTCTGCTGGCTCAGTGCAATCCCTCTGTAAGGGATTCCCTGGCCAGCGGAGAGTACTGCAAAAAGGAAGAAGAAAATCTTCTCTTCTATAGTGTGTATGAAGCGATGGTTTTTGCAGTGGAATCTCAAAATCAGAAAGGAATGTGTGTTCCCAATGGTCTGAGTGTTTTCAGTGACTGAGTAAGAAAGTACATGGAAGGAAGAAAAATGTCTAGCCAGTAGGTTAAAATATTTACTTCCGTGGTAGAAAATGTTGCACACTTAAAATTTTAAACTATTGGCTAGATGTTATTCTTTCTTTGAAGCTAATGGCCTTTGTATGGAGCCCTGGTGGCACACTTTGTATATACATAAATGCAGTAGAACTCATAATTAGACACAATCAAAGATAAAATCTTTTGGCTTCAAGCTTTAGCGCAGATATGAGGCATTCTTGTTATTGTTGTTAGGTGCCTTCAAATCAGCTCCAATTCATAGTGATCCTGTGTACAACAGAATGAAACACTGCCCAGTCCTATAATCTTCACAGTCATTGCTATGTTTGGCCCCATTGTTGCAGCCACTGTGTCAATCCATCTCATCGAGGGTATTCCTCTTTTTGGTTGACCCTCTACTAAGCATAATGTTCTGGTGCAGGGACTGGTCCCTCCTGACAACATGTCCAAAGTTACGCTTTGAAGGAGCATTCTGGCTGTACTTCTTCCAAGACAGACGTGTTTTTTCTTCTGGCAGTCTATGGTATATTCAATATTCTTCACAAGCACCATAATTCAAATGCATCAATAATTCTTTGGTCTTCCTCATTCATTTTCCAGCTTTCGCATGCATATGAGCTGATTGAAAATACCATGGCCTGGGTCAGACACACTTTGGTCCTCAAAGTGACATCTTTGCTTTTTAACAGTTTAAAGAGGTCTTTTGCAGCAGATTTACTGAGTGCAGTACATCGTTTGATTTCCTGACTGCTGCTTCCATGGGTGTTGATTGTGGTTCCAAGTAAAATGAAATCCTTGACAACTTTACAGTCTTTTTTCCATTTATCATGATGTTGCTCATTGGTCCAGTTGTGAGGATTTTTTTTCTTCTTCATGTTGAGGTATAATCCGTACTGAAGGCGGTAGTCTTTTGATTTTCATCAGCAAGTACTTCAAGTCCTCTTTGCTTTCAGCAAGCAAGGTTGTGTCATCTGCATATCACAGGTTGTTAATGTGTCTTCGTCCAATCCTGATGCTGCGTTCTTCATATAGTTCAGCCTCTCGGATTATTTGCTTAGCATACAGATTGAATAAGTATAGTGAAAGGATATAATCCTGATGCACACTTTTCCTGATTTTAAACCATGCAGTATCCCTTTGTTCTGTTTGAACGACTGCCTCTTGGTCTATGTACAGTTTCCACATGAGTGCAATTAAGTGTTCTGGAATTTCCATTCTTTGCAATGTTATCCATAATTTGTTATGATCTACACAGTCGAATGCCTTCATGTAGTCAATAAAACAGGTAAACATCTTTCTGGTATTCTCTGCTTTTGGCCAAGATCCATCTGACATCAGCAGTGATATCCCTTGTTCCACGTCCTCTTCTGAATCCAGCTTGAATTTCTGGCAGTTCTCTGGCAATGTACTGCTGCAACCATTTTTAAATTACCTTCAGCAAAATTTTACTTGCATGTGATATTAATGAAATTATTTGATATTTTCCGCATTCTGTTGGATCACCTTTTTTTTGGTGAAGTCTTTTGATTTTTAGGAGCTCCCAGTTATCTAGTTTCTCTTATGGTGTTTATGCATTGTTACTTATGGTTTGTATTCTGTTTATGCCATGTATTAGGGCTCCTAGCATTGTTCCTATTTTTTCTTCCATGTTCCTTGTTGTTTTTGATTTTATATTTAGATCTTTGATCCATTTTGAGGTTGTTTTGTGCATGCTGTGAGGTATGGGTCTTGTTTCAGTTTTTTGCAGATGGCTATCCAGTTATGCTAGCACCATTTGTTAAAGAGGCTGTCTTTTCCCCAATCAGTGGGCTTTGGGCCTTTGTCAAATATCAGCTGCTCACAGATGGAAGAATTTATGTCTGGATTCTCAATTCTGTTCCATTGGTCTATGAATCTGTTTTTGTACCAGTACCAGGCTCTTTTAACTACTGTTGCAGTATAGTAGGTTCTAAAATCAGGTAGTGTGAGGCCTCCAACATTGAATCACCTTTTTTTTTGGAATGGGCACAGACATGGATCTCTTCCAGTCAGTTGGCCAGGTGGCTATCTTCCAAATTTCTTGCCATATATAAGTGAGCACCTCCAGCGCTGCATCTGTTTATGGAAACATCTCAGTTGGTATTCCATCAGTTCCTGGAGCCTTGTTTTTCACCAGTGCCTTCAGTGCAGCTTGGACTTCTTTCATTGCGATCGGTTCTTGATCATATGCTAAATCCTGAAATGGTTGAATGTCAACCAGTTCTTTTTACTCTGAGTATTCCTTCCATTGGAATGGAACACTTGAAGATAGATATCCTAGGCATTAGTGAGCTGAAATGGACTGGTATTGGCCATTTTGAATCAGTCAGATGGCCTGCTATGCCAGGAATGACATTCTCTTCAAATTGAAGAGAATGGCATCACATTCATCGTCAAAAGGAACATTTCAAGATCTGTCCTGAAGTATAACGTTGTCAGTGATAGGAAAATATCCATACACCTACAAGGAATACCAGTTAATATGACTATTATTCAAATTTATGCACCAACCACAATGCCAAAGATTAAGAAATTGAAGATTTTTTACCAGTTTCTATAGCCTGAAGTTGATCAAACATACAATCAAGATACACTGATAATTACTGCTGAGCGGGATGTGGAAGTTGGAAGCAAAGAAGGATCAGTAGTTGGAAAATACGGCCTTGGTGATAGAAATCATGCCAGAGATCTCATGACAGAATTTTGCAAGACCAACGGCCTACTTACTGGAAGTATGTTTTTTCAGCAACATAAACAGTGACTATATACACACAGACCTTACCAGATGGAATACACAGGAGTCAGATCAACTACATCTGTGGAAAGAGATGATGGAGAAGCCCAGTATCATCAGTCAGAACAAGGCCAGGGGCCAGCTGTGTAACAGACCACCAGTTGCTCATATGCAAGTTCAAGTTGAAGCTGAAGAAAATTAAAACAAGTCCATGAGAGCCGAAGTACGACCTTGAGTATATCCCACCTGAATTTAGAGACCATTTCAAGAACAGATTTAATGCATTGAGCACTAATGATCAAAGACCAGACGACTTGTGGGATGACATCAAGGACATCGTATATGAAGAAAGCAAAAGGTAACTAAAAAGATAGGAAAGAAAGAAGAGATCAAAATGGATGATGAGAAGAGACTCTGAAACTTAACACAGAGTAGTAGCTAAAGCGAATGGAAGAAATGTCGAAGTAAAATAGATGAAGAGAAGACCTCAAAGGGTGCGGCTCAAGAAGACAAAGTAAAGTATTATGATAATATGTGTAAAGGCCTGGAGTTAGAAAACCAAAAAGGAAGAACACTCTTGGTATTTCTCAAGTTGAAAGAACTGAAAAAAAATTCAAGCCTCGAGTTGCAGTATTGAAGGATTCTGTGGGCAAAATATTGAATGACTCAGGAAGCATCAAAAGAAGATGGAAAGAATACACAAAGTCACTGTACCAAAAAGAATTGGTCAACGTTCAACCATTTCAGGAGGTAGCACGTGATCAAGAACTGAGATATTCTTGGAACGCAATTTATCTATTGAACTGTAAAGTAGCCCCAAAGCTTAACTACCATTCTGTTTTAGAGGATATGCATTTGGACTTTTCCTTCTCCCAGAGGTATAGGGGTGAACTCGGGATTTGCATTAGAAGTGCTAGAGCCTTTACAGGGCTCTGTGGAGAGGGAGGGTAAGGAAGGAAGGGAAGAATGTTGCACCTGCCGTTGTACCAGAAGGCCAAGAGGCTTCTGGAGCACAAGGTCATAACTGGACAGCTTTGTTCTTGTGCTTCTCCTTTCCCAGTCTTAGCTCTCCAGACAGCAGTAGAATGTCTGGCTTTTAGGAAAGCACCATTCCTCTCCTCAAGGCAAGGAACTATGGGTATGGTTACTGATGGCTGGGCAGGTTTGTGACATCCTGACAGCCTGTGTGTCATTATACAGAACACCCCTTGTAATGTAGGGCAGGGTGTCAACTTAGCAATTCTCTATGTCATTTTAAATGAACTTGAGGCAAACTGTCATGGATAGATTGCAAAAAGGAACGATTGAGAATTTCCCTTAAGGATTGGTTTACTTAGCAAACCTTTCCCCCTCCACCCGTGGCATTTCAGCAAGGATCCATTGGGGACTGACAGTCTTTCTCAAACAGAAGCTGCTGTTCATCTTTACTCTGCAAGAAAAAAGTCATTGTAACCAGTGGGAAAGAATGTATAGCGTGATAGATGCTTCCAAAAGGACATCAATGATTAATTTGTAGATGTTTTAGTGTAAGAAAAGCTAATGCTTAGTGCTATGCACCCTGTTGGTGTACAGTAAATATTGATGACGGTGACAGCTTTTAACTCTTTAACAGCTTTTAAATCACTTAAAACCATTATGCAAGAAGCATCATATTCATACAACCCAAATTCTTATGGGTATATTATTTATAATAGCTGGCCACAGGTTGTGAGTTAAAGAATAGTTTCTTTTGAAAATTAATGTTTGATACTGAAAGTTTATCTGGACCTTGACAGGTGAGAAAAAAAAGTTTCTTTAATATCAGGAATAGGGGACTAATTTATGTGAGGTTGAAATATTTAACCACATCTTTTAAACAAAATAATTGCAAAATTGAAAAATCATTTTAAAACTGCTTCTACATTTTAAACAATTTTAAATATGAGAGGTAAACCCTATGTGTAGAGTGTCTGTTGGAGTGGAACACCTAAAAAATATATATGTATATGTACACACACACACACGCATGCACACATACATACATATATCTTTCTTGCTAGTTCTGTAAATTGCCAGTGTTGCTTTTCTGTTGTTAGAGCTTTGCCCATCTGTTAACATGGAATGGAAAATACCTTTCCCTTTTTACAAGGCAGTTTCTCAGTGGAAGAACTAGATTTCTATCTTTGAAGTGATTGACCTTGTGAATAAATGTAATAGTGTCCTTACATTCTTTTAGAACTTAGGTCTAGAATTTCAGAAATGTTAACTGTTGCTGCTTGCATTTATGCCTTTTTTGGTTTGTTTTTAGCGAGTATTTGCTTTTTCTACCCAGCTTTAGTATTTGCTCTTTCAACCTAGCTTTGTGAAAACGTGAAATCACGGTATCTTGCTTCGTCATTTGATTTTAATTTCCCTTGCCCCTCCCCCAAGCCAGGTTTGAATTGAGACTGTTATAGATGTCTAATGCCCTGTCAAGA